GATGTTTTTGCATCCCTGTGTATGTGTGTTTCAGACAGCAGAAACTGCCCTGCACGCAAACACCCGGAATGAATTCCAACAATTTCCCTTTTGAGTCTTTCATGTAGCAAAATTCATATCCTATTTCATGAAAAAAACCAGGTTGCAATTACACTTTGCTCCTTGTATTTCCCTTACTGATTTTCCCTTTTAAGGACAATTTAGTTATATTTTAAACTAGACACTTTCATCTTGCTGCTACTAAGCAGAACAGAATCAGGTGGGCAGGAAATATGGAAACTTTGAAAAACATATTTTTATGGTTTTGTTATGAGTTATTTTAAATGTTTTGAGAAGGTAGTGTCAGGGTTCCAAGTAATAGCCCAGATGAAATCAAAACTCCCAAGGCCAGAGGCTTCCTCAAAATATAGATGTATGTCATATTGGCATAGCTGGTCAAAACCCGACTCTGACTCTCCCTAGGTTTTCCCTACCCAATTCAAAATCCATTACAGTTCTTCCCTGCATTGCACACAACCATCACATACCCCGATCAGGCCACCCTCCCAAAACTGAATGGCTCTCATCCATGCCTCTTCAGGTGCTGGTGAGAGTATCCTTGGTTCCCAGAAGAATGTTATTTTGGCTACATATCAGTGGTGGGTTCCAGATCCCGTTGCAACTGGTATAGTTGCAACGGGGCCGGGTGTCCTCCACTTGAACGTGTGCAGTGCGCGTGCGCACATGCACATTCGTCTTATCCAGCGATGCCTCCGCAACGTTCCAGGTGCTCAGTGGAGTGTCGCGCAGGTGCTGTGCGCGCCATGCATGTATGTGGAAGCACCAAAGGGTTTAAAAACAGGTAAGGAAGGCAGGTGGACTCTCCGGAGCACCCTACTGGAACAGTACCCAGTGCTCCGGGAAGGCTCTGGTTCCGCCCGTACTGGGGCGTATGGCCTGCAACCCACCACTGCTACATATCCTCCCCCCCCCCATTATCTCTACACTCCCCTCCCTTTCCCACAGTTCTATCCAGTATCGCTGTGGCAGCCCTGAAGACGTTCCAAGATGGCTCCAGGCGACAGATGGTCAATAACAGCAGGATTTCAAATTATTTTTAAACAAATTTCTTCAGATTATACAAATGTTGCAGTGCAACCAGGAAAAAGGGAAAGCTTCATTAGGATGTATTTATTTGTATTCTCTTCATTTTTTAATTTGCATTCCTATATGCATGGATGAAATTCTAACGGTTGGGGTGAACCGGTAGCTCTGACTAGCAGCTGGGAGTGAACTGGTTTGCTCCGAATTTGAAGTTGGCCTGCCTGCCCGCCCCTGCGTTATACTCGCCTATATTTCCTTTTTCCAAAGCCCAGCTGATTGGCGCAACACACTGGATTGCTGTGCCTCAGCGGTTTTCCTTGCCATGTGGAAGGAGAGCTTTCTCTAAACTGCACATGTGAAGCGCGTGCTCAGCGGACCGGTTGTTAAACCAGTAGGATCTCACCCCTGCCTATATGTAGTATGGGTCTTTTATTAATGACCTGTTCATTGTCTGAACTTAAAATGGTGTTGAAGAAATGGTGGTTATGGTCAGCCATCCTACTATCTCGGCTGTCAGGTGATCGTGATGTAGGTACTTGGCAACCGACTTGCAGTGCAATAACATGATTGCAATTTTCACTTTCCCTGCTGGCTTCCCACAAGTAAATTTAGTGGGAAAGATACCCATCTGTCCACTTTTCCCCAGCCCCTCTGCACTCGAACCAAGCTTTTCTGACTAACTGTGCTCATGCTGTGCCGCCCCAGCCACCTACATATTACACCACTCCCTGTCTCACTCAGCCGCCAACTATCCCAGTGACTTTGCTTGTGGGAAGCCGGCAGGAAGTTGCAAGAGGTGCTCACTTAATGAATCACAAACCTCACTTAACATTGACCATAGAGTCTGCAGGGGTCGCCATTGCTAAGCAATGACATTATGCTGTACAATAACATCACTTAGTGACGGAAATTCCAATCCAAGTGCCATTGTAAGGAATATCTGTGTAACAATTAGCAACAAGTTGTTTTTTTGTACTCGGTGAGTATTGAGATACAAGACAAGAAATTCCAGGGCTGGGATCTAAATAGAATAAAATTCCAATGTTGATTCTAGGAGTTGTGAGATGAAGGCCAGAATCTTAAGTATATCAGCATAAATGCACCCTACTCCCTGAAACAATAACAACTGGCGTGGATAAAACAGAGAACATGAACATTTGGACAAGTTTTATTAACTAGAGCTACTTTTTTAAAAAAAAAAATCCACAAGGAAAGCATGCATATTGCATGGCAACTATTTGTGCATGATTAGCGTTTCTTGGATAGGCCTCAGCGTACGTTGTGGAACCTAAAACATTTTTTAAAAATACAACTTGTAAAATACTTGATAGCATTTGGTCATAAACTGATAAAACCAGGTCAGTAACTGCAAGTTGTGAGGTTAAAACGTAATGCCAAGAACTCCTCAGTGAAGACTTGAGGAACTCATGTTGCTGTTGGTAGAAGTCAAAGAGTCTTTTGAGATGTATTAAACCCCAGCCAGATTTCTCAAGTTCAGTCTGCACTGGATTCCCCAAATCTCTTGGTTCTTTTTGCAGCCAATGGTGGGCCTTGCGATAGGTGAAAAATAGGAGGTATTGATCTTTATATGAGGAAGCGTCCCTTTTAAGAGCTGTAGGGAATTGGCAGTCACTATTCCAAAAACTTGCAGTGTTTTGAGTGTAGCAATTTCACCAAGTTCACTAAAAGAAAAAATACAACAAAATAATTCCTTTAATTTAGCTGGTGCGATTTTTCATGTGTTCAGTACTGAATGATTGTCAGCACATCTCATAGAATAACAGCTGTGACTTAATTATTCTCTAAATTCAAGGGCATGTTGAAAACCATGTAATAAACTAATACTTATGTACATTCTATAAGGATTAAGTTGTTCGCAAGGGTGTCCATTCCAACATCCATTTTGATGTTGGACTAAGTGCAGTTTACAGCATTTAAAAATTTAAAGGACCCATCGTACAATTAAAACTGTAAAAATTATATTAGCAGCTCCATTTCTATTTGTGGTCCCCAACATACATTTCATTTTTCATTTTCATTTTCCCTTTATTTGTATGCCGCCCTTTTCCCTGGGGGGACTCAGGGCGGCTCACAGTTCAAAAAAAAAAGGGGGGGGGGAAGGACAAACAATTTTCCAACATGGAGACAATACAACATATTAAAAAGAAAACACAA